GGCGTGGCTGCATGATCTGGGACTTGGCCAAGAGCAGCTTTTCAAAATTGTGCTATCTAAGCCTCAAATCTTCGGATACAGCATTGAGGCCAATCTGTCGAACAAGTTGAAGCTTTTTCGCCGGTTCTTCAATCAGAAAGACATTTGTGCAATGTTGGCTCGTTGTCCTCCGCTTCTTGGGCTATCTCTGCCTCGCCAGTCTCACCGCTTGCACGTGCTGCAGAAGAAGAGCATGCTCGCGAAGTTTGCATCCACAGCCACGTTGACGGATTCACGCTTCGCAGAGCGTTTCCCTGACTGAGCAGCTACAATGGTCGCTCAGGGGAAGTCTTGGCGTCGGAACAAAAGGATTCGAATCGTGTGTGCCGTTGGCCTGCAGATTAATTAATTATTTGCGACACCTAGGTGCAGGTCTTAGGCACAAGCATTGAGCCTCTTAAGAAACCAACATGTGATTTGTGCTTTGTTCGAGTTGGGGTACTGAATAGCTGCGGTCCAAGGGCCCAAATCTACAGACTCAGAGTCCACCCAGTCAGACATGTCCTCGAATCCCAAGTATGGTGATATCGTCGTTTTTGCAGAAGAAAAACTTGGTTCATCCTTAGACGATCTGTGTCTCCGAACAAGCACTCGAGCTGCACACCAAAAGCAACAGCAGGCATCGGCTTCCTTGGTTGTTCGGTTTCATCTCTTGGACCCAGTAGCCCCAGCCCCCTCAGACCATCCTGAGCCCCTTGTGGCTGGGTTGCTGTTGGGGACCTTCTTGTAAATTACCAGAATAGGGAAACCCCATTAATTATTTTACTGTATGCTCAGAATATAAGGAAACCACATTAGTTATTTACTATATTGCCACCCATAACATGGTGACTTAACTTAAGCTCCTTACCTGCAACCCAGGTTGTGGCTTGCAATTGCAAGGTTCGGCTCCAAATCTGACGTGGAGGGGTCCCATGACATGGAAGACAATATGTGTATGGTGTATATATATATATACAAATGCATATATGGAGACTTTCAAATTCAGAAATGTCCTCATGAACCTGGTCTGCTCATAAAAGCGGCGTCCGGTACCATTGTATATTAAAGGCGCACGTGGAAACTATGCGAGCCCCACAGAAGCCCGCGCAAGGCATTCGTGCGCCCACATTGACTGTAGTCTCTGCAGTCCAAGCTTCTTGCACCAGGTGTGTACGCTCTGGGCTGGCGTCTTGGGATGGTAGCAGATCTTGCAAACCTCATTTACCACGAGCTTTCTCTGGGCACTACTGTCCGCAACATGTTTCCTGCTCCGCCCGAAAGGACCCACCCTGGGTGGACCGTCGCTGGGCAGACTTCCACGATCCTGGCAATTACACGGTGCATGGGCACGGATTGCAGCGAGGACATCCTCGGAAGGGTTGAATTAGGAGTTCGGGAAGGTTTCAGAGTTTTACGCTCCAGGGACTAGGGCCTAGGGTCATGGAAGGATTCAGGAGGCAAGGAACATCGTGTTTCACATAAGTACGTTATGAGGGGCATCTACGATGTTTCAGTCTAGTGGAGGGTACCTTCAGAAAACCGCAAGAAGTCCAAGACAGTTAAAAGCTACCTGTACTTGTGGTGAGAAGCAAACTTGTAAGTCCCCGAGGTATACTAACCAGGGATATATCTGGGTTGTAAATGAAGATATGACTTTATCATATGTTTATGTACCTGCAAGCACCCCAGATCCCAAACCCTCAAAAACCTTAAATCCCAAACCCCCAAACCCCAGGCCCTCAACCCTAGACAGCGCCAAACCCTAAGCCCCCAAAGTCCAGGTCCTGAACAACCTTAATGCCCTACAACTTTCTGGTGGTTAGAAGGGAATGAGGGAATATGATTCATATACAATCCCCAAAAGAGGTCCCTTATGACCACTACCCCCGGTAAGAAAACCAAATCTAGAGCTCCAAGCACCCGGCCCCCAGGAGTGGGAGCAGATCCACAGCAAAACTGCGAAGGCGAATTTGCCGTTTTCAGAGCTACATGCAGGGTAATGGAAAAACATGGAAATAACTATAAATCATTCAGGGTTCAGGGTCAGGGGGATGTAGCAAGTAGGTCAATCGTAGGAAAAGAACATGGAAACACACACACACACATATATATATATATGTATATATATATATGTACACATATGTATACGTAGTTTAGGCTTCAGGGTTAAGGGTTTAGGGTCAGGGCGATTTAGTACGTAGGTTAATTATGGGGACAACTATAAGGTTACTATATGGATGATAGGGGTTATTAAGCTAATTTCTAAGCCCCCCTGACCCTCCACCCCGGACTCTCCAAGTAGATTGCCTTCCCCAATCCCTTACAGACTGCTGCCCTTTTGGAGGGGTCTTTTGGGGCTGGGGTGAGGCGTGTAAAGATTTGGTTGCAGGCGTAGGGTTGCAGGATTGGGCTTAGCATCGGGTATACGGATTTGCCTTTCGGGTTGGGTTTCCCTCGGCTGCAAAAGCTGGCTTCATGTCCAGCTAGAAGCGCGGCTCTGGTTATGCTAGGCAGGTTACGTTGTAGTTCTAGGTTATTGGTATCTTTTTTACACACTCACGTTTAACAGCCTATGATGCTCCAAGTACGAGGCAGGGAGTTAAAGGGGTGAGGGGATGCTGGCTGCAGCTGGACCGAGCATTAAAGGAGAACAGATTACGGCTTCGATTTCCTCAACACCGATAATACTTCGGAAAGGTGATCGAGGAGCAAAAAACCGCAGGGCTTAGGATTTGATTCGTCGCTCTGGGGAAGGCTGCCCTTGCTGGTGCGGGAGGTGGGAGTGGAGTGGGAGAGGGCATAAAGGTGTGACGACAGGGTGTTTATAATTCTAGGGATCATCAAAAGGTCCAGCTTTTCTCTGGTGCCAGCCTGCATTGTTTTTTGCCACTTGGAGGTTGGTCATGTCGGGACTTGAAAATTCCAAGCCGCCAGCCCCTAACCGGAAACCGCTTCCTCGAACATCACAAGCTCCATTCCGCCAAAAAGAAAAGTATTCCTGGTGCTGCGCCAGTAAATTCTGGGAACTCTTGGTGGGCTGTTAGGGCTAGGCGATTGTTATCCGTGCAAACTTCCTCTGGATTGTCTGAGATACAGTTTTAGGGTTCAGGGCTGTGTTTCACCCAATGTCACCTCGATATCCTCTCCATACGTTCCACTTGTAGTGCTCGCGCCATTCTACCTAGTCCTGTGCACCCTAGGTTCTAGGGGCCTTGCACAAGCTGCATACCCCAAATCTGTGGATGCGTGTAGAAATTGCAGATTTGGGGTCCTTTGTGGGCATGCCCCAGTTTAAGTAACCTATTCACGTTCAAGAGAATGTTTTTTTCTTGGCACCCTTCGTGGAAATTAGGGGCAAAAGCCTGCAAAATCTCTATTTAGGTTTGTGAAGCGGCAATGGTAGTTTCTTGAGTGTTTCCGTCCTCATTCTAAAGCTCTCCTGAAAAAGACAGCCGGATGGCCGAATGGCCGAATGGGAGACTTTGAGTACGACCCCATATAGTCCTTAGTAGGGACCACATAGTCCCTTTGCTAACCCCAAGTATTCCTAAGGACCACTCACTTTGAGAACCTCCCAACTGGTAATTTTGAATATTCATGGGCCCCAATATTGATCCCTAGACAGTATATTTCTTATTTTCGGGACCCCAAAAGGGACCCGTAATTCTTACTGTAAGTCTCATTTTCGGGACCCCAAAAGGGACCTGTAATTCTTGGAAACCCTAAACCCTAAACCCTAAACATGGCCATGACAGTTTTGAAGGCACAGCTCCCGGAGTACTTCATCGGACGTGCCTTACCTGAAGCTTGCTTAGGGGTTTAGGGGTATATGGGGTTATATAGGGGTTATATAGGGATAATGGGTTATAGGGTTATAGGGTTTGGGGTTTCAGCCTTGGGTTGTATGGTTTGGGGTTTAGGCTTGGGGTTTAGGGTTGCAGGCTCAGGGTTTAGGGTTCTTTTAGGATCCATTTTCGACAAAGGCACTCTTATATTAAAAGTGTAGGGGAGCCATTATACCCTGCATAATGGCGATGGCATCATAACATAATTTCAGCCCGAACCCTCAGACCTCCCCATCTGCCCTGTACTGACAGCTTGCATGATAGTTTGGACGACCTAAACCGTAAACACCCCTGAAAACAAAATCCCTGAGTTCTAGCCTCTCAAAATCACAGCCCTGAGTCTTGAACCTTAAATCCAACAACCCCAAACTCCTGGCCATTTACCCTGAAACCCTAAAACCCTCAGAACAGCCAAAACCCTATCTCCTCAATCTCAGACCACTCCAAAGTGCTCAACCCTTGAGTCTTGGCGGTTAGGGTTTAGGGTTTAGCCCTAAACCCTAAACCGGGTCCCTAAGCCCAAAGCTTTACCAACCACCCCCAACCCCCCCCAACTTCAGGGTCCATGTAGGTCCCCTACTTGTGGTATCTTGGCTCTACAGAAGCTGCATGTGGGTCTAGGTAACTCCCGAACCCTGAATTCTCAACTCTTAGCCCGGAACCACAAAGGCCAAAACCTAAAACCCGGAACGCACCAAAACACCCTTAACCCTAGGCGGGGACAACTCAAGTTATAGCCAGTTATCACTTTATGTCACCTGTAGTTACTTACAACGCTATTGATCTGTAATATACATTGAAACCCTTAAGCCCAGAAACTCCAATCCCAGCCCTAAACTTTAGAACCGCAACTTTACTCCTTGGAACTTAGCTCGGCCCTTGGCTGCGGTTCCCTATATTCCTATTACAGGTACCTAAAAGTTAACTTCTAATAAGGGTGCTAATGGCAATGGTGTTTACGCCTGAGGCCTGAAACCCGAGGGCTCCGAGTCGCCTGGACCGCTGAGCCCTGCCGCCCAGCGGCAGATCGCCTTCGAGAGCCAGGGGAAGGCAGCTGGTAGATCTTTGGATTTTTTGCGTTCAGGGTGATTAAGTAGGTCCGTAGGTTCCAAGGGGACCCCAATATAGACCCCAATATACTATAATGCTCATTATAGGGACCTACCCATAATTTTAGGAAACTACCATTTTTGGATTTAGGGCTTGGGGAGTAAGGGTTGTAGGCTTGACGGCTTAGGGCTCCAGGTTTGAAGATTAGGCCTCAGAGTATTGTTTGAGGGATTAGGGTTTGTTGTGCAGAAGTGTGTTTCTGGAGCAGCAATGTAGTGTCGAGTGCTTGGTGCTGTGCGCCATGTTGCTATGGCCCGATTGGGAAGGCCATCCCCCAACTTTCAAGGCAACAACATCACCCAAATCTATTCCAGGTTCACACAGGATTCACTGCAGGAAGCGTTCCTGACAATAGGGTCTGGGATTTTGAGTGCAGGGTTTGGGGGTTGAGAGGGAAGGGAGGAGATTTGGGGGTAGTTGTTCAAACGGTTCTTCAAAGGTTTACGGGGCTTTCTTGCTGGGATATTCCTGGAGAACATATATAACTTGCGTATGCCATCGACATATCCCCTATACACTCCCCACGGATCCTCGACTCTAATCCCACGCAGTCCTTCAACCTTCGCAAGAGCACCACATTTTTTGTGGACACTTTCCAGTGCATGCAAGTCACTTATAGACACTGAAGCTTGCTCAAAGGGCCTGGGGGAGCCAGGGAGTTGGGTTCATCATCATTATCATCATCACCATCCTCCTTATCATCCTCATCATCCTCATCATCATAAAATCATCATCATCATCATCATAAAATCATCATAATCATAATCATCATCATCATCATTGTCATCCTCCTCCTCCTCCTCATCATCATCATCATCATCAGCGTTACCATCATCATCGTCGTCATCGTCATCGTCATCGTCATCATCATCGTCATCATCATCAGAATCCTCATCATCATCATCGTCGTCATCATCATCATCATCATCTCCCCCCCCCATTTTGCCTTCCGCCTTCCGCGCCGGCCACTAATAATGATTACTCTCCCCAGCACAAAGTGGTAACATTGGGTATGCATATTACTAGAGAGATGGGCAGGGTCTATCATCGGCAGATGGGGTGATTTGCGGGTCAGCTTGTTCAGAACATGGTGTTTGGAAGCGGAATAGACTTTAAGTCCTAGGTCGCAGAAAAACCTTACTGGATCTTTAGTAGGGAACAACAGAAATATATTCCATAGGATTATACAGGGATTATATTCCCTTATTGAATACTAAGAACCAGCACGAAAATGTGTAGGTGAATCATCTTCGAAGCCCTCAACTATAAACCTTAGGGTTAAGGTGCTCAGGGCTTCAATCCCTTGACCTAGAACACAGAATACACTGGGGACTATGCCCAAAATCATATTTATATTCCGGAGCCCAGTATGATTGCGGGGGTTTATTTCCTATTTCAGGGGTATTGGGCTCCCCGAGCCCCTAAACCAACCGCATCCCCAAAAACCCTAAGCTTCAAATCCGTCCAGCCCTACACCCTGAACCCTAAGCCCTAAACCCTGAACCTAAACCCTGAACCCTAAACCCTAAGCCCTAAACCCTGAACCCCAAACCCTGAACCCTAAACCCCATAGGCCCCAAACTCTAAATCAAAACTAAGCCGCGTAGCGGCCAGGTCCTGGTGCAGATGGCGGGCCCGGATGAGGAGAACCCCGGCTTTGCGCAGCTGAACTTGGACCCGAAGAAAGCGCCGCCTGGCTGAGGGAAGGAGGTTTAGGGAGTAGGGGTTAGGGTTTTGGGGGGGTTTAGGGATGAGGGTTTAGGGGTGAGGATTTAGGGATTAAATAGAGTTTAGGGATTATGGTTTGGGGATTAGGGTTTAGGGATTAGGGTTTTGGGTTGGGGGGGTTTAGGGATGAGGATTTGGGGACTAAGGTTGAGGGATGTGGGTTTTGGGCTGAAGGTTTAGGGATTAGGGTTTAGGGACTTGAGGTTTCAGGGTTAAGGTTGTAAGGTGGGCTTGGGGATTAGGGTTAGAGAATTCGGGCTCAGGGCTCTTCTACCGTTGAGCAGTTGGTGGTTCATAGGTGGTTGACAGGGCTCAGTGTTTAAGTTTAGGGTTCACAGGTTTCACTAGGTGCTGCTTATGCCAGGTGCCCTAGCAGTCCCCTTTGACCCTTTTTGTTTTGGGGTCCCCTTATTAAAGCTGAACATTAGGAAAAAGGGTACCCTTATTAGTTTTGTCACGGGTGGTATCGCGGGTTTTTTGCTTGTCTTGATCTAGGTTGAGATGTAGGGAAACACCGAAGTCCGTGGAGAGTGTACTGCAGTCCTTTACAGGGCCTGGAAGGGGATCATTGGGTGTAAGTCTTCCTAATTGACAGATACATGACAGATGCACTTGTACGAGATTCCACCTAAGCCGACACAATGGATGCAAAAGGGGGCTTCTCAACAAAACGCCAACTAAATCCCTAAGGACCACCATGTTCTGCGTAGACTTTGGCTTTTTCCCCCTGCACACTAACGGTCTACGCAAATTGCAATCGTAAATCCGGGCACAACATACACCTAACATATTCCGGATCTATGACAAAGTAGGTGGAGGGAGAGCCCCGTATGTACTCCGTCCACAAGGGCCGGCCCCCTCTGTTTGTCTTTGAGAAGATTTGCACTCTCGAACTAACATGGAACCTGAACAGGGGCCCACAAAGACTACCAGCCTTGTCAGAGGGCCCTAGAGGTAAACCCCAAGCCATAACCCGGCAACCTCTGAAAAAGGGGCGTGTCAACAAAAGCCGAAAGGCTAAACTCGAACTCCTATAAACCCTGCGTTTGCCCCAAAATCCTAATACCCCCCAAACCCTAAGCCCTAAAAGCAACAATCCAACCTAACCCCTGCAATTCCCTTTAAGGGACCACTGAACGAAAATTGGGAATAGCCGCATATACGGCCTAAATCTTATGGCCCCTAGGTATTGTTCTGCCTTTTTAGGGTCCCCAAGCCCAATTACCCCGATGTAGACCCCTTTTTTAAGAATCCTAACTCCCATAACCCTAAACATTGAACCCTAAACCCTAAGCCCTGAACCCTAAACCCTAGGCCTTGAACCCTAAACCCTCAACCCTAAACCCTCAACCCTAAAGCCTAGACCCTAAACCCTCAACCCTTCAACCCTAAGCCCTGAACCCTGAACCCTAAGCCCTAAACCCTGAAGGGAGAGAAGGCCCTTCAAAGCTGTAGCTCCCAAGGACTCTGAAGCGGCTTCGCCAGCTGCTCCGCAGCCGGGCCTGAAACTTTTGGTTGGGGTTTAGGGTACTGGGTTGGTGTTAAGGAACTTAATGTAGGTTGCCATAATATGGGTGTATAGGGTTTAGGGTTCAAGTCGCCACAATGTGGATATACAGTAAATATGAGGATTTCCTTCTTATCGTACATTACTTTAATAAGTTTCTTGACAACAGTTAACAACCCAGTTTAAGGGGGTTGCAGGGGTAGTATAGATCCCTCTTGGGCGGCTTAAAGGCCTTGTATAGTTCGTTGTCTTTAGGGGGATCATGAGGATTCTTTAGGAATCTTTCAGGGGAGTTACAAGGGTTAAATCGGAATCTTGGAGGGCTCATAGTGGTCATATGGGAATCTTTAGGGGAAGTATTTTGCCTTTTATCGGGAGGAACTTTGGGTTCAGGGTTTAGACTTTCGGATGGTGGGGGTTTGGGGTTTGCCGTCCAGGGTCTAGGGAGAATGGAGAGCGGAATATGGTTATATGCCTAGAAATCTTGGTGGTTTAGGGTTTAGGGTTTAGGATTCTAGGGCCTAGGACGTATAGGGTTTAGGGCGTAGGTCCGGGGATTCAGGCTCAGGGTTTAGGATTGGGGGTTAGGGTTATTGAGCTTTAGGTTTGGTGTAGCCTCAGAAATGGGGAGTTTCAAAAATGAGGAGTCCGATTTAAGGGTCCAAATCATATTAGATGCCTAAACCCTGGACCCTACATTGTGTGGCCTTGAAATTCTGTGGGCTTGGGGATCCCTGGTGTAGGGCTGAGGGCATGAAGGTTTGTCTTGACAGTGAATTCAGGGTTTGGGGGTTTAGGGCTTGGGGTTTAAGGTTTTACGGGTTTATGTTCGCGTATCAGAATGCCTGTGCATCAGCAAAATTATTTTCAGGAGGGTTTTCAGGGCAGCATAGAGGAATTCCGGGTGGGCTGAGGATTTAAATTGGGATTTTCCACAACGCGCGATCCCTTTCTCCATTGTGGGCAGCAGAGGTTTGAGTCAGGGTGCAGTCGAGTTACCTTTCTCCCTCCTCCGACCGGTAAGGAATCCTTATGCGAAAAAGTCTGAACTCATTAAAGGGTTTAAAAAGGGGATTATATTGGGGATGATTATAGGGGTTATGAAGGGGGATACTCAGAGTGTACACTAGAGCTCTTATAGTAGTCCCTGTATAAACCCGACAATATTGTAGTTTTCATTTCCTTTTCCCTTCCATTGTTCCCTGCTAGTCAGAGGCAAGTTACATAATCTCTGTTTGAACCGTAGTTTCCATTTCATGTTCCGTTTCCCATTTGAATCTCACAGATTCCTACCAAAATATCCAAAGGTAAGCTCTTCCTAAATCCAAAACCCTGACACCCTGCATAACCCCAATAGAACCCCAAAATGTAGTAGCTTCCATTTTCTTTTCCATTATCCCTATATCCCCCCAGAACTCTTTTATAATCGCTCTATAATAACCCCTATAATATAATCCCTACAATCCCTATAGTTTCCATTTTCTTTTCCACTATCCCTATATTATATAACCCCAATATCCGGGTCACGGATTCTCTTCTGGGAAACTTGCGCCAACAAGCGGCTTGCGAAGGGCGAGGCGGGTCTTGGGGCAGTTTGGTTGAAAGTCAACGAACCACACCTTGCCGTGGAAGAGCATGTGGTTTTTAAGGGTTTAGGGTTCAGGGCAAAGGGTTAAGGGGTAAGGGTTTAGGGTTAAGGGTTAAGAGTTTTAGGGCTTACGATTGAGGGGTAAGGGTTTAGGATTAAGGGTTTAGGGTTTGAGGGTTCAGGATTAAGGGTTTAGGGTTTAGGGTTTGAGGGTTAAGGGTGTAGGGCTTAGGTTAGGGATGAGTCTCCACATGGGTAGTATGCTTAATGAGCATGCGATAGTCCCCACTATGTCCTCCTGTTGCGTAACTGGTTTAGCAGAAGGATATATATATATATATATACAACATCTTACTCTATTTACACACAAAACAACCCCCAAGCCTTAAACAGTAAATCCTGAACCCTTAATCCCCCAAAATGCCCCTGACTTGTAAAAGGTATGGTATATAGGGGCCCCAGGAATAAGGCCCCAGAGTCGCCCTACACCAGAAACGCCAAAACACCCTCGCTTTTAAACCCTAAACCTTAAATCCGTCATCCTAAGCCCTAATCCTCAATCCTGAAACCCTAGAAAAATCTCAGACAAACCTTCAAGCCTCATCCTAAACCATGTAAAAGGTATGGTTTTCCACAGCCGCCTCCGCTGCCCGAAAATGCCGACTATTGAGGTTCGAAGAGCAAGATTCGGGGTTGCTGAGGGTTGAGGGTTAGGATTTGGGGTGTAGGGTTTAGGATCTAGGGTTTAGGGTTTAAGATTTAGAGTTAAGGCTTTAGGGTTCCAACAGCAAGATGTGGGGCTTGTTCTAATAGACCCTTGGGGAAATGATTTGGCTTTGCGTAGGTCTGTACGGGGAAATGAAGGGAACATTCTTTTCGACAGTAACAACTCCGGGACCAGGAATTTGATCGTCTACTGTATGGAGTTTCTGGGAAGAATGCAGCTACCTTTAGAGCCCGAGGGTTACATAGAGACTTGAAAGCGAACATGGGGGTCCTTGTTATAGATTGTATAAGGACCTTTTTCAGAAATACTGATATGGGAGTTTTTTGTACGAATGGAGTACGATAAAGACGCAAGATTGTAGGGGTTTCTGAGGGAACATGTAGAGGCTATGTGAAGGTGGTCTCTACATGAAGGGGCTAGAAGGTTTTGCGAGTTTGAGGTTTAACGGGGTACTTAAATTAAGGGTCCCTTGGGGCTTTTAGGGATCTTTGGGGATTATAGAGGGATTATTGGGGTTCTTCCTGCGGAAATCCAAAATGCTGCGTGCTGTCATCTAGGGGTCTTGTTATACTAAAGCGGGATCCTTTTTCTAGAACATATAAAAATGTATACCCATGCAAGAGCTTTTCAAATATGATCCCAAAATAACCCCACAGGGGTTTCACAAATAATCCCAAAATAACCTCTACGGGGTTGAGGGTTAAGTTAACGGCTTCAAGATGACAAGTTCCGGGGGCCTAGGGTCTGAGTCATCTCCGCACTTCGTTTCTACATGAGCTACAGACTAAACTCCTTAAAGGGGGTTATATAGGGGATTATATAGGAGACTACTACAGGGGCTATTAAGGGGGATACTAGGAGTTTAGACTATAGCTCACATGAGGAAGGTTTTCTGCTAGATAAACAAGGGCCCCATAGGAGTCATACGCTTTCTTCGGTGTACTCCCCCAAAACCAATTGTTTTGGGCGTATTGTGGTTTCTAACAGAGAGTAGTAGGAGAGTATGATCTCTTCGGTCATGGCAGTTTAGAAGAAGAACTTGACCTCACTTGGTTCAACCACCCTAAAACACTAGTGCACTCTGGTTCACTGCTCATGGCATGCTTCGAGCTGCAGGCCGTGCGCGTTCTCATTGACGGCAAGGCCATTTGGGGTCATGTGAGCTATAGTCTAAACTCCTGAAAGGGGTTATATAGGGGACTATATAGGGGACTACTATAGGGGTTATTAAGGGGATTACTAGGAGTTTAGACTATGGGTCATGTGTGATGGTTGTTCATGCTTCGTGGGATGAAGTGAGATTGAGGACTTAGGGTTGGAAAGCTCAATTCTGAAGTGGGTTCCCCTGAGTTCCCACGGAATCCCACGATAGCCCTTGAAGCAGGATTGCCGCGAAGAGGAGAAGACTCTGTTCGAGCTTGGTGTGTTGTTGCTTGGATTATGGTTCAGAATTCCAGCTTGGGGTCTAGTTTTTTTTGTTTTAGCCGTTTAAAGTTTTTGGTGTTTAGTTTTTAGGATGTTTAGTCTGGGGTTGGGATCTTCAACCGCAAAACTAATGGACAAACATTATATACCTACTTGGATCTCATAATCCCATCCTAATCTCCGCAGGTCACTGGCGTTCTTAGGGGTAGGGTTTAGGGTTCGTTACCATTACTTAGGGTTTGGGGGCAGATTCTTGAGCTTAACATTTTAAATTTTGAGTTAAGGAATGCCTAGAACCTTGAGAAACGGTAGGTTTGTATGGCCTTTAGGGTTTAGGGTTTGGGTTTAGGGTTTAAGGTTTAGGGGTTAGCTTCCCTATTCGGATAAACTGCCACAGGGGGATTCTGGAGGATTTGCGTAGTTGAGGGGTTCAAGTTTTAGATATGCCGACCCTAGACCCTACACCCCAAACCCGAAACTCCTACATCCTAAACCCTGAACAGCTAAACCCTCAACCCTAAACCCCTAAACCCAAACCCTAAGTTTGCATTGGTCAAATCACAGTGATCTCACCCGACCTCCGCTCAAAGGGCAGCTTCTCAAGATTGTGGCCCTTTTGTGCTTGTTGAAATTGTGGTCCTTTTTGGATCCTTACTGTAGCGCACTCGCTAACTTTAAGTTCAGTGCGCTCCCTGACGCCAGGAGTACACGAAAACGGACAATAATTTTGATAATCCTCCAGGTGGTGGGTAATTTGCAGAAGGCCTCTATTCGAGTTAGCGAAGTATTTGGATCTGGTCAGTCTTTGCTTGGAAGGTACTGTGAAGGTAATGAGGAGAATCTAAAGTGAGAGCCATGGGCCCGTAATATGTGCCCCTTCCTGTTTTCTGGGTCCTAGGTACACGCTCCTGATTAGTTTTGTCTGTCTGGCCTGAAAGAGGTTGCAATACATGAGCCCCAAACGCGCAAAAGGGATCTCAAATCAGGGGCCGTTCCTATCCTACACAAAAGGTGGGGTAACTTGCGGAGTTGCTACTAAGGAACTTAAATCTAGTTGCCATAAGAAGGACATTGTATCATATACAGCATATCCATATTGCGTTAACTCTTTCGCAAACTCCGCGGATATAATACGGATATGACACCGATCTAACTAAATGTAAACCCTAAGCCTCAAACTTCAAAGTCCGCTTTCCATTTCACGTCCGTCTTCTTTTACTTTCCCTAACATCATCATGCGTTCCCCTTTATCCCATTTTACTCCCCACCCCAACCTGAGCCCGATAGCCTTAGTTCAGGGGAACCATGGGGGGGGCGTAGCATAGGGGGGTGGTAGGGGAATCCGTTATGATTCTATTCTGACCCTGGACCTTAAACTGCCCTAAACCCCAAGCCCTCAACCTCAAGTCCCAAACCCTAAGCCCTAAACCCTAAACCTTGAAACCGAAAAGCCTAAAACCCTAAATCCCTAAACCTAAAACCCTAAAACCCTAAAACCTAAACCCCTAAACCCTAAGCCCCTAAGCCCCTAAGCCCTAAAGCTTAGACTCCAACCCTTTACACTCCCAGGTTGGGCCAAATCGGTAAGGTGAGTGCGATCCTGAGCCATTGCTGAGCTTCTGGCTTCCGGTGCCTCGCTGTTCCACACTTCGTGAACTCAGTTGAGGATATGCGGGTTTAGGGGTTTAGGGTTTTTAGGGTTTAGGGTTTTTAGGGTTTAGGGTTTTTAGGGTTTAGGATTTAGGGTGTTAAGGGTTTAGGGTTGAGGGTTTAGGGTGTTAAGGGTTTAGGGTTGAGGGTTTTGGGTATTAGGGTTCGGGGCTTCATTTTGTGAACTCAGAGTTGGGGATAGGGGGGGTTTAGGGTTAAGGGTTTGGGGTTTTAGGGTTTAGGGTTTGGAGCTTGGCGTTTTGGGGTTTAGAGTTGAGGATATAGGGGTTTAGGGTTAACTCAGGTCGATGGATTTAGGGTTTTAGGGTTGGGGCGTCGCTTCGCGAAGTCTGAGTTGAGGATATGGGGGTTTAGGGTTTTAGGGTTTGGGATTTTAGGGTTCAGGGTTTTAGGTTTATTTTGTTGTTTTGGGTTCAGGGTGTTAGGGTTGTAGGGTTGTAGGGGTTCAGGTTTTAGGTTTTAGGGTTTAGGGTCTACGGTTTAGGGTTCGGAGTTTATTTCCACATTTCGTGAATTCAGAGTTGAGTATATAGAGGTTTAGGGTTTTAGAATTAGGGTTTCAGGGTTTAGAGTGTAGGGGTTTAGGCTTCTTTAGGCTTTCAGGTTTAAAGGTTTGACAGGTCCCTTTAGAGGGATTTTATGGGGTTTCTAGGTGTCTTATCAGGATTCCATACGGCTTTGTAGGGTTTAACAGGTCCCTTGAAGGTGATTTTCGGAGTAATGCTGGAATCTTTGAAGGTATTTATAGGGGCTATATGAGCATTTTGAGTATAGGGGCTGGGGCTTTGGGGGTACACATATAGAGATAATGATTCCCTCGAAGGGGACATACCGGTTCTATGGGATTTTGGGTCTATGGGGTTTAGGGCTTGTTTTTTTGGGGCTTAAGGGCTTAGCGTACAGGGTTTGGGGCTTAAGCTTCTAGGGCAGGCACATAGGTACAGTTCATAAACTCCCGGTCAGCCACCGGTTGAGGGTCTTAGGTTTAGGGTTTAGGGTTTACTGAAACAATAAGTCCTTTGTAAACAAATCCATCTCTGCGTCTTCCAACCTACTGACTTCGATAGCCCATAAACAGGAGATGCAAGCTGTGTAAAGTTAAAATCCGAGGCTTTAGCAAAGACCCATGTAAACTGGGTTGCTGTTAAGGGTTTTTTTAAAGAATATAAGAAGCAAACCTCATTGTTTACTATGCGACCATATTATGGTAATTTCATTGAAGCCAGGAAGCTTTTTCAACAGGACGGGCTAGACTGCTAGACCTTTTTAGCATGGTCCTTGGGCTAAGAGTCAACAGCAGAATTCCAGAACTTCCCGTCATGGGATTTGGCAGTCTGTGATAGCTGACGGTCTTCCATTCTCTGGGGTTAGAAAGGAATGCAGGAATATGTTATATAGGGACCGTATAATAACCCTGAGTAGTAGTTTCCATTTTCTTTTCCATTATCTTTATAAGTCTTCCACTTAATTCAGCTTCCAATTCCGATCCTACTTGCAGCCAGACTCAGAGTTACCAATGAGCTCCAAAAGCCATAAGCCGCTGACAGCTCGAAATGAAGGATGGCCTGGCCACGTTGTGGGGACTGCTTCTGCGTTCAGACTATTCGTGGATTGAGCGATGGTCGTTCAGCGGAAGCAGCCGCCTGTTTTGGGAAGGGGTTGACGAGTTCTTCCCCAGACCAATTGGAGGATCGGAAGGTAGTTGGCCCCTGACGATGTACACTGGAGGAAGGGTAAAGGCGCACCTACTCAGCAGTTTGCAATTTTGCGTTTTTGCCGGTCTGCCTTCTTCCTTCTCGAAGCAAAGAATCTCCAACAGTTTGGACTGCTGAAAAGTGGTGCAGAAGCCTAGAAGATGAGCTTTCTTGGGTCCTTTGAACTTCATCCCGAATTTTGGCATGCAAAATGCCCAAACTACCAAACCCTACGCGGGAGAGCCTACATGCAACCCTAAAGCCTAAACCGTGTGCCGAAGCTCCCAAAAACGCTTCATCCAAAAACCTGAAGAAATCCATTTGGGTTTGGCGATTTGAGTTTTAAGTTCTCGGCTTGGGGTTCAGGATTTCGGGGTCTGCGTGCTCAGGTAGGCGCTCAAGTCTGTTGGGGGCTCTATTTTCCAGGATCCTCCCTGTCCAGCACTGGAAACGAGCGGCGCTGAGCGCGCTCGTCCAGCAATATACAGCAAGGAAGTGCTGCCTTCGGGGAGATCAGGGAATGAAGGTATGCGTATATATAGGGGTTATATATATATATATATGGGGTAAATTCGGGTAAAAGAAAATAGAATAGAAACTATTTCAATGTGGGTATTTCTGGACTAGGGTTTAGGGTTTAGGGTGTGCGAGCTTAAGTAAGGAGAGGTTCGGCAATGTGGCTATATGTGGTGTGGTAGGTTTTCAAAATTATGGTGCCTTTTTTGGGGTCCCTAGACTTCAATTTTCACAGCCTCTCATGTAGGGCTCACATAGTTTAAGGATCAACTTTCCCTGAAGCAGCAGCAAGGTAAAACTGGGCTGGCTGAGCCAACCCCTTTGATCCTCGACCCCTATGATGCAGAGGGTTGAGTGATGTTGAGAGGCCGTTAGGGTCTAACTGCATGTGGCCCACCTTCTTAGACACATCAGCATTTATCACTAAACGCTGTAGCTTATACCCTAGCCCCTAGCCCGAAAACTTGAACCCTAAGCCCTAGATCCCTAAACTCCAACCCTCACACCTTAAAACCCCAAGCCCAAAATGCCAAGCTGCAGCCCCATTCTCGGAAATCTCTTTTCAAACCAATTCACGAAAAGTCAGGAGTATACAAGACTGCCTGGTGACATTTTCTCAAGTAAAGCTCTTTAGATACATTCACTCTACTGCATGTTCAGGATGTAAGCTGGGCGGCGAGACGTGGCTTTGACAAAGCAAGCCCTGCATGGGTTTAGGGTTTGGGGTACTTTCCTCAAACCTTGTAGCTCTAACCCCGGATGCAAAAGACATGAAGCCACAAACCCGAAGCGGACCCAACAACCTGCAACCCAAGGCTCAACTAACACATCTAGTGGAAGTCTTTTTCCAAGAAGATGTACTGGGTGGACTATGAGGGGTATACGCCCCGTGCGAACGACTTCAAGTCCTCCTAGACTTTGCGATTTCTAAGCTCAAGGTATGACAGCTCGCAAGTACTCACAATGGGAGGGCCGCAGACGTGACTCCGCTCTTCCTATGCCCGCTTTCGCTTACAAGAAGCCAGTAGGATGCTGTTGAAGTTCTGAGGAGAGTTGGGACGGGACAATGTTTCCTACTTGCCTAGGAATCTACCTCGACCCAAACTCTAAGATCTTAATCAT